ACGCTGGTCTTTCCAAAACTCGGGATTCTTGTTTAATATTTAAGGTTTCTTTGTGTTGACGATTCCAATGAAAAGACGAACATATTTAAATAAGAAGCAGTTACTGGTTTTTTGGTATTTTATTTGAGTTTTTTTTCAGTTGATTTTCTAACATCAGATGCTAGAAATTTATATAATCGTCTCCATGTTCTGACAGTGTAAACTCCTCAATATAAAGAAGTTCATGATGAAGTTCTGATGATTATTAATCGCTTAAATATCCTTTTTTTTATATTGAAAGACGAGCAACCGATTGTACCCCTGTGGAGTGCAGATGCGAAGATATTGTGGGGTACCACAAGCGCGATTGTATTAATAACTCGCAGTCGATGCATTCTGTATTGTCGCGATAGTAGTTAAATATTGAAGTGTTTGAAATAAATGACAAAATTTTTAGTTTCCCATATTTCCGATAATTAAACGCAGCTTTATTTATAAAACATCTTCGACACACAATTTCAAAATTCATAGCCGGCTAATTACGGTCTCATATTTCGCACTCACTATCAATTAGCCACAATAAATAATTCACGCATCGAACCAGTCCCTGTTGGTTTCAATAACCGGTAAATTGGCAGTATTCAGTATTCCATACATTGGTTGTGGCGCCTTCCGGAATGTGTCCACGAAATCTAAATTAATATACAATATATCTCAACATTAACAGATTTTCGGATATGAATAACTTGTTATCTTTTAATCCGTTTCTCTTCGATAGTTCTACCCAAATTTTCTTTAATCCTTCTTAATATTATAAATGTGCAAGTTTATATATCTGGATGTTTATTACCAAATCAATCTCGCTGAAACAACTGAACAGAGTAGGTAGAAATTAAGCACGCAGGAAGAGCATGATTTGCCAGAAGAGGCTTTTGTAGAGGTAAAAGCATGTTTTCAACATGCGTGACTTAAATACGCTGATTCGGATGAAAAAGTGCATTGAAGCTAAGAGAGAATGTTTTGAGAAACATTAATGTGACACATTTTTATTTGGGACAATAATTCTCCTTCGCTAAATCTACGTATTATATCTGTTCTATGTTATCTTGTTGGTGTTTCGTAGAATACCATTGATGCTCTATGAATTAATCAAGCGATATACGGCTTAATGAGACATGGAGCAAGTTGATTGTAGAAAGAACCCATTTAATAAGCTGATATCGACATTATATTGGCGTCGTAGCGCGACACCGCATTCGAATAATGATTGCCTACACACACACGCTATATATAGAGAGCTAGCATGGCGCCTGTTTGGTCTCACGCATTGTGTGACGTCACGTGTAGATTTGTTTTGAAACAGAAATGCGTCAAGCTAATGAAATCGTGATAGAAAACAATTTTGATATGTTTTTTCTATCACAATTTCAATTCAATCTATACTCGAATGTTTTAACATCGGTTTTAGGGTAGAACTGCGGAGTAAAGAGGTTGCTACTACATAGTTTCAAATATTAGCAATCTAACTTCTCTTGAATAAACGCTCATTTTGGTTGATTTTGAATAAAACCGTTATCCCTACAATAAGGATCACAATAAAATAATTCGACGAAATGATGAAGCCGATCTCAAACGATGCTCCGTCATATAGATCTTTTATGGATTTTGATCGTTATTTATTTATAGAGGAAGTGGGTGGTTATTGTATGTTTAGATGTTTAATTAACAAACTCGTAAAAAAAATGTTGAATTTTTGGATACTTTTATCCTCCAAAGTAAAAAATCTGACGTCCACGCAGATGCAACTCTATCTATGCGCAGGAATTATCTCGTCCATTCTTCTCCACAGTTTCAGCAAAGAAGCATTTCATTAGTGTTAGTGGTCATTCAAAAGTTGTTTCATATTTACAATTTGATTTTTGACGTGACAACGTCTTATAATTCGATGGAGCCGGATGCACGCACGAAAAAACCTGACTCATGCGGCGTTACCTCGCTCTGAGGCGTTCCATTTAAGACTTGAAGCGCAAGCGAGAGCGCGCAACGAGCGACAAAGAGGCACAATCGGCCTCCGCGTTCGGCAGCGTTCAACATCTGTCTCTCTCCTACTTGAGTGAGCGATGCGTCCGCGTGGACAGCTGCTATATAATAATACATTTACATGTTTTCGTCAAGTATGAAGTGCAGTGAAAAGTGCACATTCATACTTGTAAAAACTATGTACATTGTAAAAAAACGTTGTCGCGTTCAACTATCGTCAGTAAATCGACTTTACAGACAGCCGATTTCTGTTTTTTGTTGCTCAAAATTGTTGTTGCCCAAAATTCGCAACAAAAACTGATATAATAGGAACAAATCCGCAAATTACAATCTCTCATTTTAACAATAAAATATATTTACATATTTAGGAGTGGGTGTGCCGTTCACTGACGTCATAGGTTCATAGGGATCTGCTTCTGTTGTGTTCATTCTAGAGATGATGTCACAGCGTGAATTTCAAATGAGTCTAATGTTCAAGTCTCCAGAACTATTTTCTGATAAATTTCGATATGATATTCCTATCCCTAAAGAAATTATTTTAGAAGGCTCGCACTTAGAATAAGTCGTTATGTTTTTGTGCGAATTCTATTCAAACTAGAAGGCATATAAAGTTATGCCGAAGTTTATCCTTAACGATTTAAGTTTGTGGTGTGAATGTTCAACTTTTTGATTTTTTACGACGATTATCAGGCGATTTTTGGAGTAGTACTTCGAGACAGAAAAACTGACTTCTTCTAAATTTGTTTCTAAAACTATCTAAAAATAAAAAAATAAACAGAAAGCGCCAACACAAAATTTTCCCTGCAGGTATTGAAACCATGCCAATGAGGGTGTTAAGGAAAATTTACGTCTCCTACAGTGCTATTCTGTAAAATTTTCACGGATTCATACCGGAACTGCGCGTATCCACATCGGATCCGCGCGTGAAAATTTACAGAACATCACTGCAATCGGCGCCACTGTAACATGTCTTTTGTATGAAGTTTTTGGCGCGAATTGACCGAACTAGGAACGAGCATTCAAAGTGATCCATAAAATGGATTTATTGATGAATTAATTATGGCGAAATATGTGATTTGACGGAAGAGTCATTCCAGAAAATTCTCATCGAAAAATAGTTAATAACATGGACCAAAGGAAAGAGTTTAGAACTCTTATTGGGGTTTCGCAGTTTGGCCCTTTGGCACTATTGATTACGTCTATCGTAGGTCTAACCAAATGTGAATGAGAATCTTTATTTGGGCTGAAATAAATTTGCTGTCCCTCTTTCACACGTAAGCCGCTGAACTGATTGTGATGGAATTAAAGTATGAAGGTAAAATAAACCTCAAAACATATCCATGTTCCCTAACAAAATACAAGAGAGGCTGAAAGTAAGTATGGGAATACGAATATTTTCTTCGGACAAAATACCTTGCATGCTTGTCTTACAGCTTGTATAAAATTTAAATGTTTAAACAACACTTGCTTACGCACATACCGGAACAGAAGTACGTATTTAAACCGAGTCATTCGAAACAGTATTGTACTGAAGCGTTAATTATGATCATAAGCACATAAATATGTTATTTACGCAATTGTTCAATTCTTTCAGTTTGCAAAAGACTGTAAATAACTTAAAGATAAGTATGGTGATCACACAGCTGTAACTTTCGTCTGTTCATACCGAGTCAGGGTCATTCACAAAACAATGTTTGTAACATCTGATTTTCATCGGCATTGCAATTTAAATATATAAACATGCAACAGATTTGGTTTAAGCTTTTGATTACTTAGAGTCAACTTAATAAGTCTTAAGGTATTTTTGTACTTAAAGTTGAAGTTTATTACAGATTATGTGCTAGCTTTAAACTCAATAAATAAATTGTTTAATAATGGTTTGACAATGCTTTATTTACTTTCTCACTTACGAATTATTAAGTTCTTAAAAAGTAATGAATATAACCATTATCGTTGGATCACAAAAACGAAGAATATTTCCTAAGAAAGATAGATCGGTAAAGATCACATAACATCTTCCTACTTATTAAAAAATGAAATTAAAACTTTATTCAAATTGACTTATTGAAAACTGTTTTGAATCATCCAATATTTTTTCCTTACACTAGTAGGTATAGTAACCTACAGTGAGTAAGACGTATAAGTAAGTTCCAGAACCTTAGAAAACTCTCTGCATAAAAAACTCCTTTCTTAAAAAACTTCCCTTATGACCTCTTAACTTGCTTTTTAATGAGTGAATATAATGACGTATTTATTTCCTAATTACGTTGAAACAAATCTATTTATCTTATCATCTAACATGGCATTACCGTATTATTTTACCATCAAAGTTATATTTTTACTTCTCTCAATATAGAACGAATTGACCGTTGTTGACTGAAACGTCTTTCGTTATGACGGGAAATTGAACTAAATCCAAGCGCCGACATCACGTCGCCAAATTATGATCAACATAAAAACCCTCCCTTCATGTCGATTCCACAAATATTTAACTTGATAAAGAATTGTTGATGTTTGAAGCAAGAATATGTTATACAGAACATGTTATACAGTCTTTCAAAACTCAATTGCCGTTATGAAATTTTAACCTGGCCTTCTGACCTATAAAATTTACGTTATATTTAAAAATTAACATCAAAACGCTCTATCTGAGGTTAAGTGTGAGTGGAGTCCAGTTGCGGCAGAAAAGTCTTGTAACCTTATTCATCAACAGAAGCACAACACCACCTTAAATTTAGTGTTATGTTACCGTGACCTTCTGTAAGATGAAGTATCCCAAGAGAGATACCCCAATTCGCCCTACTTATCCTATATGTATAGTGCCCAGGTCAGAATCTTTATTCCTATTTATGCCTTTCAAGTTTCAATTTCGGGAAAAGAAGCAAGTATCGTCCTCCAAGGTCCCAAAGACAAGCCTTTCCAATTGAAAGAACGAGCCACAACTTGCCAGTTCCGATTGTTAATATTGTAATGGAATGTACCTGGTGATGTGATCTTGTCTCTCAGCAATGTTCTGGAGTCCTACAGCGTCCCTGAGCTGCATCACGATGGCGGCCCTCACAGCCTCCGAAGACTTACACTCTTCGATTCTCTCCGACAAAACCTGAATTGAAAATTAGTCTTATTGATACCTGGTTTCCTTTTATCGAATCGTGATTATTGCAGACAAATTTACCCATACTTCATTTGGGATGGATGCTAATGATGTAGCCGGACGACATACTTATTCAACATTGGACACGTGATTTCGGACGTCTTTTATGAGAAAAATGTCAAAAATCCTTCTAATAAAAGAAATCTGACTATTTTTAGTGGTCTTTCGAAACAAACAACTAAGGAGCTGTCTACACTTCGAAGCACTACTTAGAATTCTTTGAACATATTATGTATATAATATCATTTATCACAATAAAAATCCTACATTGCCTCGCTACGTTGCCTACAAGGCAACCAATTACAAAAAATGCAGGTGTTCAAGTAAGATATAAAATCTTTTGTTTTCTCATTGAGAAAAGATTGGCTGCAATGACGGTTAAGAGTTATTTTAACTAATCGAAAACTGTAAATTAAAATAGGAGCTTACCTCCACATCGTCTGTATACAAAGGTGTATTCTTGAAGACGTCACTCTTCACGACAGTCACGTACGGCCCCTGAACGCCGCCCACAAATTTCTCGCAGTTGAAGAAGAGCGCATCTTTCTTTACCATCTCATCGTCCACACCGGGGAAAGTTGGGTTCATGTCCACTGTTGAAGTTGGTGCGACAAGCGTGTAATCCCAGAAGGACCAAGCCCCGTACTGATGGAGGAGCAGTGTCGTAGCCACGTCATCAGCCAGCACCCCCGTGAGCTTCGAAGCGGCGGGGAAGAACCCGATCATGCGCTTGCCAGTGCCAGTGTTCTCTTGCAGCCTGTGCTCGAGGTTGTTGAGATCTATGAAACCTTCTTTGGACTCAGGAATTTTTATAATCTGTAACAAGCGAGAAATGGTATTTACTGACTGCGTATCAACTGTACTTAAGATAATGAACTCAGTGACACTCCTACGAAATAGAGAGCTCTCTAAAACGATAAAAAGAGATGGTGCAGCCTACAGTTATACAAACTACTGGCCGCATGATAGCTTCCTCTCTCTCATACTTAACTGCCTAGCCTTTTTACAGTTGGACATGAAACACTAACTCTATTATATGGTTCCAAAGTTCGAATAAAAAGACTATTTTTTTTAAAACAGGTCGTTCGCACTTGGTTTTGAATTAAAACAGAACCAAAACAAACATCCCCGTTTGACATATAAATCTGTGACGGAAAAAGAAAATTATGGCTTCGAAGATTGAAAACAGACAACGAACGTAACGAGAACTAAAAATTAGTACATAATTATTTGACGTTTGACTAGATCGAATTCGATAATGGTTCATGCTAATATGATACTCATGTGTATTGTTAACAAAGTTCACGAGATGGGAAATGAGATACGCTACGCTAGCATTATGTACGCAATCAGCGTATATATATATATATATATAAGGGTACATACAGTATCTGCAAACTACTTCAACAAAAACAGCGATTGTAATCTACTCAACAATTTTAACGATGCGACGCATAGGTTCTTAGCGTGTGAATATGTGCGCATAATCTTATCGACACTATAATTCATGTACCATTGTATTCTGTTTCCGTGCTGAAGCCTAAAAAATTAAGGTAAACGGCCGAGACTCTAGATCAGAATCGATAACGAATGAATTTCTCGAACGATCTGAATACGATGTTGGTAGGTGTCTACTGGCATGGTTGGACATGAATTAACAACTAGGGGTCGACGACCCCAACCGTTTTGCAGGTTGCAGACCAAGAGCTAGTTTTTTTTATTTTTTTTTATTATTCTGTTTTAGTCACATTATTACAGTGGTCTGGGTTATTTAGTTTGTGTTTTATTTGTCTTGTTTCATTTATTTGTCAGACCCAGTCCCGGGGTGACGCTATTCCATACGTCCCCGGGGGCTGGGGCATATTGTGTCGTTGCTCTCGGGTGTGAACACTGATTGGTTCGATTGTTTGATGTCGCGTCGTTTGATTGGCTATTATCTATAGGTGGAAATGTAGTGGGAACGAGCCGGCGATGTCTGATCCCGTACAAACGGCCTGCGATCACCCTTCTCACCTCTTTCTGTGTTCTGTACTGCAAACTAAGCTACGTGAAATAAATAAAATATGCGAAGCTAGTTAAGTTGTGTATGCCGATGCGCAGCTACATGAGCTAAGCAGTAGCTAGAGTATTAATCACCGAGATTAATCTTCTTTCCTATGTATAACGTATTTATCATCGGAACTTTTCATAGCGAGTTGGAATTCGTACCACAGACTGAGCTTTCATATAGTTTTTGGTGTACCCGGGACATATTTTTAATTTATCTAAGCTTAGCTCAGCTTGCTTCGTTTAGCTTCAGAATAGCTTAGTTTCATGCAACCCGCTTGTTGCGTGTAATAATGTGTTGTATGTGTGGTTTACAGGAGATCGGAGTTTTACTTTCACAGTGACCTGAATACCTGCGGTTCATGACATCCTTTAACACGCCAACCCTACATGGAGGAACTCTCGTATTTGTAATTTTTTAAGCATGTAACTGATAGATCTTAATACATATATCTATAATTGCTATTTCTTCTTTCAATGTTTAACACTTGTAAAGGTATTCAATTAAATTTGTGGGTTGGGCCATCAGGGCCGCGGTAGCATAATTGTCAGCAGGGCCGTCTTTAACCTATTGGAGGCCCTGGGCATATTAGCATAATGGGGCCCCTATGACTATGATGCGGATTATGCCTTGAAATGGAGCGAGTCACACTGATCAGTGTAGTACTGATGATGTTTCTTTAAAATAGCTTAGTATACCATTATATGTTTAAATTTATCTAAGCATGCTGAAGTCGGAATTTTTTTGCGAGAGTAGAATAGCTTCGCGCATGTAAAATCTAGTAATTTGGTATTGTAGTCAGTAATTTAGGTTCGATTTCTTCGAATTATATAAGTTTTTTTGTAATAAATATTGGTTATCGTTTGGTGATCTGACAGGAACTAGGGACTTTGTATTTGATCTGAGGGGGGCCCTTATAGATCGCGGGGCCCTGGGTACACTTACCCAAAGTGCCCACTGGGAAAGAGGGGTCTGATGGTCAGTGCATTCGTACGGTAAGCGAAGGGTGCAGGTTCGAGTCCCGTCTGCTGCCTGGTCCGCGTGAAAGTTCTAGTAAAATTTTCTTGTATATTTTTTATATTAAAAAGGTGGAAAGCAAGCATATGCCCCACCTGATGGTAAGCGGATACTAAAACGTTTGCGATACCAAAAATATCACTCACGCCTTTGCCTACCCTGACCCAATCCCCTACCCCATGGAGTCCTGGAACATTGCTCAACGACAGAAATACAACACCACCGTAGTGTTATTTACTATGGTCTCAGACTATGGTGTTCTTTAAGGTGGAGATTACTTCCCCAGACGAGCGCTTCAATTCAAGCGGAAAATCCGCTATGCCTTACCTTAAATACAGGTTTTATACCATATAACACCTTCGTGTAAAAGAGGGGTAACGAGACATTAAATCTAGTCTAGTAATTACTTGAATCACTTGACCAGTTCAATCATGAACAACGTTTACAGAAACACGATTTTCTAAAAATGTTCGTTAAACGAAATTGCATTAATTTTATTATGATTAAATTTAAAAAAATATAAATGTTATTCTTCTTTTTGGCACAACTTTTATAATCTCTTTATTATGAACTTTTAAACATATAAACAGCAACAAAGAAACATTTCTCTGAGTCAATTAGTACAAAGGGACATTGATTCAATGGAAAATAAGGACATGACGTGACATTTATGTAGTGTAGGTAACATGTGTCATCCTTAGTTACATTTTACATAAAAAACAAACTGAAAACACAGTACAATAACCATATTGTAAAACTTCTTTGTTTTGATTATTTTACAGCGTGCTTCATGTTTATTTCCTTCACGATCGAATGGTGTGCACAACATTTTACCTCTACCAAATGTGATATTTTTGGTATCGCAAGCGTTTTTACGTTAAAGTGGCCGCTTGCCATCGGGCGGGCCATATTAGAAAGAAGAAAGAAAAATGATTTTATTGTTGAGAGCACATAACATACACATAAAATGCAAAAATACATATAACTTAAAAGTAGAACAAAAAACAACTACAGAGAATAAATGTGTATATTATATGATGCCAACACTGGATATGGCTTAGCATACACAGCAGGTAAAACTCCTGCTGCACTGTTATTCTGCCATATCCAGTAACACCATAGAAAACATAATAATAAATTTGTATATCTACAAATTATGTACATCCTGATTACAAAAAGAAATCGGAGTATAGGGCAGAACACATCCCAATATCTGTGGCAGAAATTGTTTATGGTTCCAGTGGTAATCTTTGGTTGGTTACAACAAAGAAAGATGGACTTTGACCCTTTATTTAAAGTGACACGTATATAATACAAATCATATATTTTATTGCTTGCCACCCTCTTATCATCTTTACATAAAAAAGGATAATTATGGTAGTAATGTAAATACATTAAATATTGTTAGCAGTAATAATGGCAGCCTGTATGGTCCCGCGGGCCATCCACTGCCAAGGCCAAACACCGCACATTATGCTACTACGCGTTATCGACGGCAAGTCACATCATTGGGGTCAAACCGAGTTTGTTTTAACAATAACTAAAAATTACGTAGTTCTTTAGCGGCAAAAAAAAGAATTGATCCTCCTATTAAAGTGAAGTGAAATGACGAAGTTCCTGGTCTATACCTAGACAAAAAGGGATTAACCGCCTTTTTTGGTTTTAATTTATTGGTGAATAAGCGGTAGGATGCATTGATAAATCGAATGTTCGCGAAAATCATGGGGACATTTGTCAATGTTACTGAAAAAGATAAGATTTTTGCGAGGACGCGAGTCGCGGCAGTAAGATTGCGAAAAGAATCGTGCGTTGGCTAATTATAATTAATAAGTATTCTTGGGTTCACACTAAGTTAGGTTAAGTCAGCTCTGTGGTCATGACACGCGAGTCGAGCAAGCGTAGCGAGCGCGTCGCGGCAGCGGCAGGCGAAGCGCAAAAAAATCTGCGTTTTCGTAGAATCCCTAGGATTTTCATGAACATTTGACTTATCGAACCATTCTATGACATATAGATAAATGAAACATCAGTTTTCGGTTTCTTATGCCTATTTTGCGAATTTAAATGTACAAAAAAAGTACAAAAAAGCTATTATGAAGTTTTATCGATAAACTAATTAAAAGTTTTTCATTAGTTGTATTGTGTCTCCTATAGAAATTTTCACTGAACAACATGTTCATTTTTCGTAAAGGTACATCTGCGCACCAAATATTTATTTGCTTCGTTGAAAGTATAATTCATTACTTCTGTACTAACTAAATAGCGCGTGAATATTTTACTTTATGATATGACTGTCACGCCGTTTTGTTTTTGATGATTGAATGAACAGAGACAAAATATAACGTAACTAATCCAAGCTTATTCTTCGTCTATCAATAAGGAGGTGTTAGTCGAAATTGATAGTTAAATGGTTGAAAAACTCTGCCGATGTCTTCGATACGTCGAAAATTCGCTAACTCTAAATTTATAACCTTTTTCCTTGTAGTAAGAGTCAAAGAGACTTCACTGTTCTTAAGTATCAATACTATAATCTGACTTTGTTCGTATTCAGATAAATAAATAAAAAGGTAATTGCCAATCAATCACCTTAAATAATACCAGACGAAATTGTCAAAGTGTTTGCATCATTGATACAGTAAGTATTTTCTCACTATGTCAGCATAAGCTGAGGCAGGGTCCTGATTGGCCATCTTAGATTCTTCTCCTTAGTCGGGCACTTTTGTCAGAGTGGTCGTGGTTGCACTGACGAGGTATA